CCCAAACCATTCTATGAATCTATGATTTTCTGTAAAGCAAACTTTCCCTTTGAAAATGTACTGTTGTTTATTATACTGGGGTGTTAATTGCCATAATCTTTTCTCTAAACTTTATGATGTCTACTACTCATAGCTAGAAATGATCATCTGGCTTTCCTTTTTTTGTTCTCTTTATCAAAAAGGAATACAGCATGAACATACAAGCATCAGATGCTTTGGGTGCACTTGGGATGCCCTCCTGTGTTCTGCAATGATAGCGACCAAATAGAATTTTAAACTACGTGCAAGGAACATAATTGTATGGAGGATTTAATGCATTCAGACTAGTGGAAGCCACACACTGTTCTTAATAGAGATTAAAAAGGCAGTTGAATCTGCAAATTTAAGCATTTGAACCTGGAGAAAGCTGGCTCAGTTTCTGCCTTTTGTGTTTGCAAATGGAGTTCTCCATTGTGACATGGCCTAGCTAAATGTGCGGTTGCACACTGCCCACCGCTTGGTGAGTTGTGCCAGCATGAAACCATTAAACAGGTAGCTGACTCTTCCAGGGCTGCACACAGACCCTGCCAGTGACTCTGGAGCTGGTCCATCTCTCCTCCTGGGTCTTGTGAGTCTCATAGTCTCAGTCAGCTGCTTGTTTGGGTATTGTCCACTCTTCTGCTGGAGATGGCAGGGTTCTAGAGATGGCATCCAAAACACATCCTTTTTTCATCCCTGAGGAATCAGGCCTTGTGTCATAAAGAAAGTGTCCATAAAGTGTTCTGCTCTGGTGTTTGCTATGCCCCGACTGATTAAAGCGTGCATCCTGCCAAAGAGCTGTTTGGCAACTTCAGATGCGTTCACTGCATGCCTTCCTCTCCTAAAAGTCTCCCCTGGTCTCAACAAGAACTCTTCTCCTCTCTCCCTGTGAGTAACCCTTTGGCTAGAAGAGATGTCTGTCAAACAAATAACCAATGAAAACATCCCTTCTGCCCTTGACAGGCAAGTAGGCAGAGTTTTGAAGGACCCTCCCCCTAGCAACACACTGCAGCCAACACCAATTGAGCAATTTCAGCTGCAGAGAGGAGGGCGCTGCTGTTCGGGAGCAAAAAGGTATTGTTATGGGCACTTCTCAAGGTAAAAACCATCGAGCTTGGTGGGTAGAAAGGGAAATGGCAGTAGGTGATGGGTGGGCAAGGGCCTGGGCACTGGGGTGAGCTCTCCTGGAGAAGGAATGTCTATGTGGGTGATGGTGTGGGTTTCCTAGTGGACTGAGGTGGGAGCATTACCAAGGGACGGTTAGGAGCTCTGTAAGTCATGTGGGTGTATCTTGAAAGTTAGGTGATGATGGAAGCTCTGGTTTGGGGAGGGGGTGCCTGTGATGTCCAGCCTGAGAGAGGAGCCTTGGGGGTGGAAGGGGGAAGAAAGCCCAAAGCATGAGATGGCCTTGGGAGGAGAGCTGGGTGCATGCTCTGAGAACCTGGTTTCTGGGGATGGGGAGGGTTGTAGCATGCTCTCCTGGCAGGAGAAAACACCTTGGCAAGATGAGGTGATGCTTTAGAAGATTTCCATGTATTTAGATGTGTTTAAAATAAAATGACTTTCCTTTAAGTCGTATTAAGTGAGAAAAAATTCCCTGAGGATCAAGTACTTGAACATTTCCAGGACTGGAATAGCTAGGTGAAGCAGGCAGCCTGTTCAGTGGGTGGCTGGTGATCAGTGTTCACAGAGGCACCTGCACTGTGACCCCAGTGGTTTCTGAAACTCCTTTGAATCCTCTCTAATTGTTCAGTATTATTGCACATCACTGGCAAGCTCGAAAGTGGTGTATGGGCTTGAGACGTCCAGTCTTTAAAGTCTGGGGACAGTGGTGGCCCAGAGAGACCTTGTCTGGGGTCTGAATGCAAGCAGAGCTCATATTCAAAGACTTCCCAGTACTATATGCCTGCATTGACCCACCAATACCATGTGAATTAGAAAAATCCTAAATTGAATTATTTCACTATAGACATGGGTTCCAGTATTGTGGCCTGACAGTGAGCCTGCTTCTGAAAACCTGTGCTGCCTTCACTGTGGCTTCCAGCAGCTCCTGAAGTCACAGAATTGCACAATTTAAACATCTGCCACCCACCATTGTATAGTGTCATCAATCAACTTTCAGATCTCAAGGTCTGAGAGAGGTGGATACTAAAAGAGTTGTGAATCCAAGTGGTATTACAGAGCTGAACACTGGGAGAACATTAGAAAAGTACCTTCTCCTTGCTAGAAGTGATCAAAGTAGCTGAGCAATGGGCTTTTGATATTTGAAGTAGAGCTGTTTATGTAAATTTAGGTTGATAAGCTAAGGATTTGTCTCACTGTGAAGGTACACAAGATAAGATAATATCTAAAAGTGTTTCTGAAGCAATTTGAGCCACATACATCTGTGTTACAACAGTGGTGGAATAAATGCTTCTAGAGAATCCTTGTCAGGTACTGAGGGTGATGAACAGTTTGAGTGGGGGAGTTTTAGAGAGGCTCCAAAAGGTGAAGAAAAACTTGCTGCCCTGAAACTTGCTTCAGCCACCTATCAGACAGTGAGGGATTTTTGTATGCCTTTGAAGTTTGGATACATCTCACAGATTTGTGATCTTTGTGATATAGGTCAAAGAAATTATCTGTCCCAGCTTCTGTCGTATCTAGAATAATGGGAAGAGGTGGGTGCAACATCACAGCAATTCAAGATGTCACTGGTGCCCATATTGACGTTGATAAGCAAAAAGATAAGAATGGAGAGAGAATGATCACTATAAGGTACAGTATCTAGAAATGAAAGCCTTGAGTTAGTCCACAGTGTCATTTATTAAGAAGTTTGTTTGCTTTTTGAGATGGGACGTATTTAGCTTCTTGGAACAGAACATATATTGCTGCTGCCAAGATACGCTGAAGGTCTGCTTCTTCAAAGATAATCCTTAAGATACACAAAAGTCAAGAAAAAACTTATTGGAGTAAACATTTAATAGACTTGCAGATCAGTATAAAGTGGAGGCTACAGAATGTTGTACAAAGTGTGGTTTCCTTTTGCAAATGATAAATATGTTTGTATTTAATCTAGGGGTGGTACAGAGTCAACGCGATATGCAGTGCAGCTCATCAATGCCCTTATTCAAGATCCTGCCAAGGAACTGGAAGACTTGATTCCTAAAACTCACATAAGAACACCTGCTTCAAGTACCAAATCAATCCATGCAAATTTTTCATCTGGAGTCAGCACTGCGACTGCTTCAAACAAGAACTCGTTTCCTCTCGGAGCACCACCCCTGGTCACATCCCAGTCATCAACACTATCTACTTTCCAGCCTACTAACAAGTTAAACAAGAATGTCCCAGCGAATGTGCGCTCATCTTTTCCAGTGTCTCTTCCTCTGGCTTATTCTCACCCTCATTTTGCCTTGCTGGCTGCCCAAACTATGCAACAGATCCGGCACCCTCGCTTACCAATGGCCCAATTTGGAGGAACTTTTTCACCTTCGCCGAACACTTGGGGACCATTCCCAGTGAGACCAGTTAACCCTGGCAGCACAAATAGTTCTCCAAAGCATAATAGTTCGAGTCGTGTAGGTAAAAAAAATGGAAATATTTTACAGACGGAGTCTCCTGGATTAGCTACTTCTAGTTGTCCTATGACTGTCTCTTCTGTGGCTGCTTCCACCCAACCGCTGTGTGTAACCAGCAATCGGACTCCCTCTTCGGTCAGAAAGCAGTTGTTTGCCTGTGTTCCCAAGACAAGTGCTGCAGCCACAGCGATCTCAACTGTGACGAGCACCTGTAGCACTCTGCCTTCAGCTTCCTCTGCCCCCTCAAACAACGGGCAAGTGCCCACAGCATTTCTGCCATCTAATGCTCCACAAACACAGCATTCTGCACTTAAAGTGGACTCTTTCTCAGCTGCCTCAGCACCCAAAGAGAAGGTGTCAACACCAGACCAGCCCGCTGCAAATGCGTGTGCACCATCTCCGGTTGCAAGTAGTTGCAGTATGTCAGCTAGCAGCAACTCAGGAGGCACTGAAACTCGCCCACCAAGCAGCCCTGCACCACTAAATAATGTCCAAGATGAAATACTGCCAACCAGTATGTCAGAGATCAATCCTTCCGTGTCGATGCCTTTTTCATCCAGCTCAGAAACTGCTCCTTTAAGCTTAGTGTCACCCAGGTCAGTTGTTGCAGATAATCAGGACAACAGTAACTTACCTCAAGTAGCTGTACCAGCACCTCGAGTTACTCACAGAATGCAGTCCAGAGGTTCTTTCTATTCAGTGGTACCAAATGCAAACCTCCATCAAGATCCTCAGTCTATTTTTGTTACGAATCAAGTTCCTTTAACACCTTCTCAAGGTCCACCTGCTGCAGTGCAGCTTTCATCAGCTGTGAACGTTATGAATGGTTCTCAGATGCACATTAACCCAGCAAACAAATCATTGCCTCCTACCTTTGGGCCAGCAACACTCTTCAATCACTTCAGTAGTCTTTTTGATAGCAACCAGGTGCCAGCTAACCAAGGATGGGGAGACTGTTCACTCTCTACCCGAGCAGCAGCTGACCCATCTTTTGCTGTTCAATCTACCTTTATGAATAACTCTGTGCTAGGACACGTGGAAAATGTGCATCCTGACAATTCCAAGGCTCCTGGTTTCAGGCCACCTTCCCAGCGGGTTTCGACTAGTCCTGTAGGTAAGTCACGAAGATCATGCACTGGACAGAATCCTTTCTCCAACCATTGCACTTTGATTATCTCAAACTGATTGAGAAGTAGTTTACAAATGACAGTTAGAGAAGACTAATGTAATGAGGATGGCCTGTTTTTTCCAAGTGGTCTTTAAAATGTTGATTTTTTTTTTTTTTCCCCCTTTTCAGCTCTTCTAGGATGTTAGGTATTGGGAACGTTGCAGATGTGGCATTGCTTGTCCTCCAGAAGGCACCTGTTTGTAGAGTTCAGGGTGGCATTAATTTTAGCTTTTTGGGTTGGAATGGAACGTAGGGTCGGGTGATACCAAACCTGAAACAGCAGGGCCAGAACTCTTGATAGGTTCCAGCTGCAGGAGTGACTGCATGCAGTTGCTCAATATTTTATCTGAGACTTGAGCTTGACTCAGTGAGGGTAAACTCTCTATACATTTTTTATCTTGATATGGCTCGAGGATTTTAATAAGCTTATGTTATGCTTTGGGAAATGGCTGCACTACTGCATGGTGTGTTTTATTAGGAAGTTACTGTACTGCTGTTAAGTATAGCAGTTCAGGCTTATCTGCTTTTATTTGAAATGGCTTAGGGACACTCACAGTGAGCTCCTTGCCCTTGCTGTGCTCTGCCTAAAGGATTATTATCCTCTTAGTGTTCAAACTGTGTTGCAGGCAACTGGCTGCACCAATTTGGCTGGAAGAGACCATCAAGATCTAGTCTGTGCCACCCTGTTCTCCCCTTCATTCTTGCCATAATGTCTTTATGGTGCATTGAAGCTGGGTAGCTAGAGAGCCTTGCTTTAGCATTGTCTTTACCCCCATAGGGTATGTTAGGTATTTGGACTAATGCTTCAGGACTTGAATGTTGGATTGGGACAAGTCAAGAAGTTTTGACTTTCAGACTAAAGGAGAAGGAGCCATTTGGAAGACATGGTGATGAGGAAAGATAATTTTCAGCATTCCCATTCCTCTTGGTTGATATACAAACGTACAGGACTTGAGAAAACCAGAAGAACACTTCTATCTGACTAGCTTTAACCACAAAACTGGGATGTTTGCTATGACTGTAGTTTTCTTCATAGTTTAATTTGGGCTGTATAGCTCTGCAGAGGAAGTGAATACCTAGAGCTTTTGTGCCACATCCAGTCCCAGTGCAGTAAGGAAAATCAGATGTAACTAAGGCTGCGGAAGGCAAAGTAGCTGGACCTTGTTTGTTAGATAGGCTGCTAAGAATTGCCAGACTCTCCACAGCAGATTCCAGAAACACTTTACATTGGCTCAGCTTTTTCTCTGCAGTGATCTAATCTGGAAGTTGGCTGTTGTTGAAATAATCCCTGGGGAAGGGAGCTTAGGGCAAATGGGATCTGCTGATTTTTCTGGTGATTGCATCCTGTGTGCGGATGGCTGTCTGGGACTTCCTATAGCAGCAAAAAATTTGCTCTTCCCTTATTCTAAGGTCATCTGTTTGTCACTGGGAAAAAATTTCTTGCTCCTTTATATAACCTTAAATGACTGTGAGTATTTAAAATATAGTCTAAATCTGTTTTTTCCCTGAGTTAGGAAGGTTAGGCAAATACCCAAGGAGAGCTCATGTGGCTGACTTTGGGGAGGTAAGTGTGAAGTTCTCAACTGAAGCACGAACATACTTGAACAGAACTCATTTTTTCTGAGCTGGAATCTGATTAGGATATTGCAAGGTGAAGAAAAACTGCAAATTGGCAGATGCGCTGCTAAAATTCTGCACGGCAGAAGGTTCGCCAGGTCCTTAGATGATTCATTTAGTGTCATTCTACTTAATACTGATTTTGATCAGAATCTAAATTCTGTCACACAGGAAGGGGGGGTTAGGAGAGGCTGGGGAGAAGGGGGTCTTTTGAAGGATAGTGAGGAAAGGAGCGGGGATGGTAGGCTGAGGACCTCTCTGATGCCTACCCTTGGAGCCTAAGTGTGTTCCTGTAGTCTGTCCACCCATCTCATTCACTGGCTCTTCCCAGGGAAACACACCTTTCTGCTCAGCTCAGCCTCTCGGGTGGGTTGGACTGGGCAGCTAGCTTGGCTGTTTCCTAAGGGCTCGGTGGCAGGATTCATGAGATTTTGAGAAGGAGGTGAAAGGGCCGCTCACTGCTGGCTTATGCTTTGGCCAAGAGCAGTGTGGTGGACAAGGAGCAGGCTGGGCCTTGCCTGGCAATTCAGTGCACATTTGTGTGCTGAGAGGGAGGAGTAGTGGCCACCAAAGCAGATGGACGCTGATCCTCTCATCTTAGCTGTGACTTGGCACATGATGGGCGCAGAGGTTTGTCTTTTGTGCCTGTCTTGTGCAGTTGGGCTGTGGCAATTTTTTCCACAAATCGACATCTCTTGATGATCCCCTCTAACCTTATTTGGTGGAATTTTAATATAATTTGATTGTGCACTAAACCAGCTTTTTCTTAGTGAGTTGTCACCTCAGCGTGGAGTTTGGGTACTCTGCTTTTCCTGTTACTGGGTAAGCTGAGTTGCAGCTTGAGTCTTCTCTGATTCACCGGTTCCTTTGAGGCACAGATACGTATGCAGATCTCCTCACTGGCTGTGGATCTGTTCTAAAAATGTCCTTTTGTCTCACGTCTGTTTTAGATCTCTTGTCCTAGCACCTTGCATATTGAGGGCAGACTTAGCCCAGTAATTTGGGGAGACTGTGGAGAAGACCAAAAGAAATCTATTTGTTACTTCTTTCCTCTGTATTGTAAGAAGGGGTTTGAGACCTTGCCCACGTGGCATTAGAAGGTATTACAAACTTGAAGTATGCCAGCTTAGGAAACAGCACATGAGTATGAAGTTGCATGAAATGGCTGGGCTCCCTATTTTATGTGGGGTGACCAAGTGTTGCAGCTGTTTCTCTAAAGGTGGAGGTAGCCCTTGCAATAACCAGTTTCTGCAGAAGTGCTTGGGGGCTTTGATAATAAACTGAATTTTCAGCAGAGTGTGTGTGAGATTGATACACTATTCAAAGCTCAGTTACACTTTCAGAGCATGATGAAGAGTTTGAATTCATGGCCCAAGTAACTGCAGAGTATGGTATTGCAAAAAGTTTTAGTATTACAAAACCTGATTTTGTTGGTAAGTACATAAAAAGGAAGCTCATTACTAAAATCAGGATTCTGTAAGTCATTGTTCATAGAAACCATTTTTAATACTGAGCAAAGGTTTTTTTAACCCACTTTTATGAAAGGCAAGGTAATCATAGAATCACAGACTGTTTTGGATTGGAA